AGCAATGCTCCACTCCTTGGTACCAATTTTCTGTGATCCAAACACCTCACATGAGGCCCCATCTCCAGCACTGGGGATTACAATTCAATATGAGATTTGGGTGGGGAAAAATATCCAAACTGTATTGCTAAGTAATATTTAGATAACTTTAAAGGATTTTAAAACATATTTTAGGCATTTTGTACTGTTTTCAAGATGACACTGTCCTTTATCCCTAGCTAATCATGTAAAAGAAATGGTACCTCTTTGTTTTAAAATTTGTTATGTGTAGAAATGGACTATAAGGAGAAAGAAAACAGGATAGGAGTTATTTGCTGGGGAGGAATCATTCATGAGAGTCCTTTCATGTTTTCTTAAGAGTTTAGAATTCCTACCTTGTCAGTTTCCAGGTATACTGATGCTTTCACAGAATTTTTAAATGAATGAACATTTATGAAGAAAGACTGTACCTGTATTAGCCAATTTTAGCCTGGGATAGAGAAATCGAAGAGGGTTTATTACCTATCTCTTTATATAAGGGCCATAGGTTCAGATTTTCTAGTTAAATATAAATATTTTGATATATGTTGTGCCATATCTGGATTATCAATTGAACATAGATTCAAAGAGCATCTGCTTTAGATGCCAATGCAGTAGGCATCACTGCTGTTTACAAATAACTCTGTTATTCTCAACTCACTGTCCAGGAATAGGCACGTGGGAGCTGAGACTGAAACACTTCGTTGTCAAATTCATTCCCCTTTCCTCCGCATAGCTATTGTCAACAACCTTTACTCCAGGAGTCTGATCCCTCAGTGACCATTCTGAGCAGAGCCCCCTGCTGACCTACGGTGGCTATCTTAAACAGCTTGGGCTGCCATAACAAAATACCACAGACTGAGTGGCTTAAACAACAGAAATTTTTCTTTTCACAGTTTTGGAGACTGGAAGGTCAAGATCAGGGCACCAGCATAGTTGGGTTCTGGTGCAGCCTCTTCCTGGCTTGACGAAAGCCGCCTTCTCTCTGTGCTCACATCGTGTCTCCTTGGTGCATGTGTGGGGCCAGGGAAGCCAGGAAACAGCTCTCTGGGTCTTTTCTCGCAAGTGTGCTAATTCCATCAGGAGGGCCCCAGCCTTATGACCTTTACAAAACCCAATTATCTCCCAAAGGCTCTATCTCCAAATACCGTAAGGCTAGAAGTAAGGCCTTTAAAGCATGAATTTGGTGGGGACTCAATTTAGTCCGCAGCAGTGAGCATGGAACATCAGAGAGAAATAACCAATGCTGAGATGTGGAGACTATTTGTTATCACAGGATAACTTAGACTATCAAGACAGATACATTCTGATAGTGAATATTTTTACACCTCTATGCTTTTGTGAGGAAATCATATGTTTTTAACTAAAAATAATAGCAGGAGAAGCACTTGGCTTACTATTATCCTAAATGTTGGGGGCAGGGCTGGAATTGAAATTTTAAGCCTCCTCTCCCTGGAAAATTGAAATTGCTAAAACGTCATGGTTTCCTTGTGCAGACCTTCAAAGTCAGTTATTAAACTTGTGACAATAACGTCACATTATCAAAGTGAATTTTTGTTGTTGTTGCTGTTTTTAGCCTGAAGGTCAGACATCACAACCACCTGCTTAACCAGTTTCCAAAAACACTAAGGAATCACATGTCTGCTGCAACATGAAACTTGTCTTTGCTTATCTTAAGTTTTTTTTCGGTACAGCACAGAATGCTAATCTTAAGAAATTCCGCCTGCAGATGTTTAGAATCATTTGGAAATTGATCATAAGAATAAGTACATGCATTCCAAATATGTGTACATTTATTATCACAAATCTTCCCTAGGAAAAGAGACTACAAGATTTCCATTAAACCTAAAAGTCCTTTAGGGAACTGCAGAATGCAAAGAATGTTTTTAACAGCGTGTCAATGAAATGATTCATAATCAACCATGAAAACACCCCTTATCAGAAGCTCGGACGGGAGCAAGGGCAGAAGTTCATTGGCACAGGTAGCAGTGAAGCCACCTGCTTGTCATGATCCATGACATGGAATTCTCACAGAAGAAACACAACCTGTCTGCGTACGCAAATAGTGATTTAGTGAAACATTGATGCTGGGGGATTATTTACAGCCGATGATCCCACGTACAATCTATCATGTACCTCCATTTAAATACTAAACAATTCATGACCAGCCTGGACAACATTACAAAACCTCATCTCTACTAAAAAATACAAAAATTAGCCTGGTGTTGTGGTGCGCACCTGTAGTCCCAGCTACATGGGAGACTGAGGCACGAGAACTGCTTAAACCTGGGAGATGGAGGTTGCAGTGAGCCAAGATCACACCATTGCACTCCAGCCTGGGCAACAGAGTGAGATCTTGTCTCATAAATAAACAAATAAATAAACACCAAGCAAAGTAATAACTCTAAAGAGGTCAAGAACAAAGCCACTCTTAGACGGCAGTGCAAAAGGAGAGTGGCTTTGGACTTCCATGGGCCCTGGACCCACCTCCAGTTGTGTCCCTCCAGCTGTGTGACCATGAGCAAGCACTCCTCTCTGCGAAACAGAGACAATCACGCCCACCTCATTTGCTGTCCTGAGAAGGAAAACAAGTTACCTGGCATGTGGTGGAGGCTCCCTGCATTGCAGTTGTTAAGGTTCAAGGAGAATTTAATGAATAGAACAAAAGCTTAACAAATACTATGTAACTAAGCAGCTAATAACATAGATAATACATAATAATACATAACAGTACAGAATCTCTTTGCTCACTTACTATGTGACAGGCATGTTAAAAGTACTTTATTTCACTAACCCTATTCCACACAATTATTACCTTCAGTCTACAGGTGAAGAAACAGAGGCTTGGTGAAGTTGAGAAATTTTCCCAGGATCACATGGGGTGGAGCTATATCTCAGACATGAAGTTCACACTTTTAACTCATTGTGTAATTCTGCAGAGAATGTCAGGCTGCACCTTTGCCCCAGAGGGTGGCTCCCATGCCATTGTTGCCTTCCACAAAGGAGGGTGTTTCCTTAGACTTCCCTGTTGAATTCATACCTCTATGAAGTTAAGATAACATCTGTCCCCTAGCCACATCTAAGACTCCACAAGACTCACAGGATTGGGTTGACAGACACTGTATAAATCCAGTGGTTAGACAAAATCCACTTACTAAGTGAAGGTGAAATTCCCCTTCTCTTGAGTTTCCAGCGTCATAGTAAAGGAAAACTTCAATAAGTAAACCTTTCAGCTCTTCATCCTTCAGTGAATTCTATTTATAACCAATCATTTCAACAACTGGAAGACACACACAAGCAGACCTATGTCGTGTGAACCCCACGTACGCCCCCTTGCCCATTAGTGCCGTGAGGTGGTGGTTCAGGCAGAACTTGGCTGTGGAGGTGTGCATGCCTGGTAGGTTCATGAGGTGTGATCCTGCCTGCAGCTTTACTTCATCATGAAATATGCTAGACTGGCAGCTGGTTTGCTGGCTGCTGGCTCCTCTGGGGCGTCTGCCCTCACAGAAACCGCAGCCTCAGAATCTGAGGCCCTCAGCATCTCTCATCATTCCAGGGGATAAGAGTCCAAGTGCCTCAGGCTGGAGGAGCCTGCCCTGGAGAAGGCCCTGGCTGGCAAGAACTGGAGGTGTGGGACAGCTTTCCTCTTTAGGGCACAGTGTGGAGTTCTGACCCACTTCAGGGTTGTACACAGGGGGTTCCACAGTTGTGTAATTCACTAGGACTACTTGAGTATTGCAGAAGCCAGGTTCCAACTGCTAAAGCCCTGGCTACATCAGGAACTTACTCAAGCTGACATTCAATCCAGAGTTCCACGGTTACTGTGAATGCTCTTGGCAGTGCTGCCCGAGGTGAGGGATGGCAAAAGAGTAAGACACAGTTCCTGTCCATAATGGGCTGGCTACTTCTTTTGAAAGCAAAATGTACACAAGGAAGCATCCACGTACAAAGCAGCATATGACTCGTTCCCAGTGAATTCCTGTGGGGATCCAGGGAAGTGGCCAATGGGCCTGATGGAGCACTCCAAGCACCCTCTAAGACCGGATGGCTACTGATGGCTAATCCCCCTGCAAAGTCTCCTTTCAGGCAGGAAGTTCAGTTCTGCAAGATGTACCTTTCATCCATAAGAATTACAGCAATGAGAAGATAAAACAGAACAGATCAACCTCACAAAATAAAGAAGTCTGAAAACCAAAGTGTTTTACTAAGGAGTGCCTTGCAGTGAGAAGCTTTGCAGAGTACGCTTGAGAGCATCCTTTACTACAGCTTAGACATACCTTTCTCTGTCACAAGGTACATACTCTAAGGCGTTTGGTAGCTGTATACCTCCACTAACACAGTCAAGAACTGGCAACATGCTTCGTGCTGCAAGCAGTGTTTCCGACTCTCCTCAGAAACGGGCTTTACAGTTTGGATTTCCCAGAGAAGCCCAGAAGTGTTTTCATAGAGAAGAAGTGTTTTCCTAGTGGTGTAGAACACACACTTGTCCCCAAGAAGCTACACTCAGCCAGAAAATCACAACAACAGACAAGGATGCTGATTTTCATCAACACACACAAACACACACACACACACACACACACACACACACGATGTAGGATGCTTGGTACTTCACCATTGTTGTTACAGCTCTGGGCCCATGATGAGTTATTATGCTTGTGCATTCATAGATATGCCTTTGTGGCTGAACAAGTTAAAAGCAGGTGGCTCATGCCTGTAATCCCAGTACTCTGGGAGGCCAAGGCAGGTGGATCACTTGAGGTCAGGGTTCAAGACCAGCCTGGGTAATATGGTGAAACCCCATCTCCACTAAAAGTACAAAATATTAGCCAGGAGTGGTGGCTGGTGCCTGTAATCCCAGCTACTCGGGAGGCTGAGGCAGGAGAACTGACTGAACTTGGGTGGTGGAGGTTGCAGTAAACCGAGATTCTGCCACTTGCACTCCAGCCTGGGTGACAGAGAGAGACTCTGTCTCCAAAAAAAAAAAAAAAAAAAAAGAAAAGAATTAAAGAAAGGACGTTTGCCCATCTGAAGCAAAGTATTGACTGGACTTATGTAAATACCAGATTAAAAGAAAAAGGAAGAGGAACTGGGCATGTCAGAGTGAGAGAAAGTGGGAGAGGTTGAGGAAACACATGAGATTCTTAAAAAAAAGGACAATAAGTACCAACATAGCTTTGCTAATGTTGGAAATGGTGGCCAGAATTGTCTGCGGTTTAGCAAATGATGATAGCCAGCTAATCCTAATTACCCTAGAAGCTTCCTTTAGAAGTGCCACAAAGCTGTAGGAGGTATGCTTATCTGCCTTGCTGTGACACAAAAATGGAAGCATAGTTAATATAATAGATGAGAAACGCATGACTCAGAATGATTTTCAATATTAGAATGTTGGGAATCTATGGGAGGTATTTTCGTGTAAGAATAATAGGACCTGGCTGGGCGTGGTGGCTCCCGCCTGTAATCCAAGCACTTTGGAGGCCAAGGCAGGCGATCACCTGAGATTGGGAGTTCAAGCATAATAGGACTTGTTTAAAAGGACTGGCGAGTTGGGGGCATCCCAGATGCGTGAGAAGCACTACAGCTAGTGGTTAGAAGCAGGTTTGCTGGAGCCAGGCTGCCTGGGTTCAAAGTTCACCTCTGCTGCCTGTTAGCTGCACAACCATGGGCTGCTTTTGAGCCTTGCTGTGCCTTGGTTTCCCCATGCACTTCATGAGGCTCTTGCAGGAATTAAATGAGTTAATAGGTAGTCAACAGCTCTGAATAGTGCTTGACTGAGTCAGCCCTGCCTTAGGTTCGACTTATGGGATGTGGCCCTGGGTTCCCTAAGGGAGTGGCCACACTATTCACAAACAAGAACGCAGTAAGCGCCCAAAGGCTCTATCCTCACCAACCTTTCCCCCTTTTATGGTGATCTAATTGCATTGGTTAAAAGCAGCTAACCAGTTATTTGGAATATGCTCTCTAGCCAAGTCTAACTTTATTTAGACGCTGCAGATGGACAAGCTTGATTGATTGAACCAAAACGGGAACATTAAACAGACATCACAGACCCCACTAATAACATTGTGACTTTGCTGTCAAATGTAGATTCCCCCTTCAAAAAAAGCTTGTGACCATTTTGTATGGCTTGTCTGGAAACTTCTGCAAATCTTATGTTTTAGTAAAATATTTTTTGTTATTCTAAAAAAAAAAAAAAAAGTCCTCAGCGGGACCCCACAGAACTGTCTCCCCGCTGCTCCCTGGCTCTCCTGGGGAGCTGCGCGGCACCAGCTGCACCTCCTCCGCCCGTTTCGGAATTTAACAAGCACGAGAACGGGCCGCAGGGGCGCCGCGAGGGCCTCAACGCCGCGCGCGCGAGGACGGGTGGGGGCGCGCCACCTGCTCCGCACAGAGCCACGGCCCGCCCGCACGCGCGCTTCCCCTCCGCTGCGCGTCTCGCCGCGACCCGGGACCCCGAGACTCCTGCTCCCTCTAGAGCCTCTGAGCCCCTAAACCCCCACGCACCTCCCAAATCCCAAGACCCCGGACTGCCCAACCCTGGCCGGGGCGGTGGCCGGGGGCCTCAACCCGCGTCCGAAAGCCCGCAGGGCCGTCTGCCGGGAGTCCCCGCCTTACACAGCAGGAATTTATTATCCGCGCGCCCCCCGAAATCCGGGCGTCCCGTCCCCGGCGCCCTCCCTCACGGGCCCCCCACACGCCCTCCGCGGCTGACCTCCAGGCCGGCTGGGTGCGCTGTGGGACGCGGGAAGCGCCCTAGGGGACGCAGGACACGTTTGGCTGAGCTCCCGGAAGTGACGCACCGCCAGCGCCCGACGGCGGAAGTCCCACCTGCGCCCGACGGCGGAAGTTCCGGGCGTGCCCAGTCCCCGCGTGCTTTCGGCAGCCGGCATGGCGCACTACAACTTCAAGAAAATTACGGTGGTGCCGTCCGCCAAGGTAAGCGGCTGCGGGAGGGCCGCTCCGACTTTCGCCTGCTCCTTAGCGGGGTCGCCGGCGAGTGTCGGGGCCTGTAGCCGGGGGAGAGCGCACCCGGGCCGACCTGCTGGCCGCGTACTCGTGATCATTTCCCCTCCCCCACAGAACGCGGGGTCTGCCAGAGATGGAGGTCCACCCAAAGACTGAGGGCCCCCAGAGATGGAGGTCCGCCCAAAGACTGA